GCGTCAATGACGTCATTTAAAACGTACGCGAACTTTCTTACATGGGGGGGTAAGAAAGAGTTTTCTAGCAACGGTGTGTTAAACGGTAGGTAATCCTGTCCTGAATAGTGCAAGAATATATCATATAAATTCCATTCAAACCAATAATCCGATATTTTAATCAGTCTTAACCGCAAACGAAACTGGTAAACTGGTGAAGTATGGCATGCAAATATACATTGATTATATAACATAATCTAATATGTTATAAAATAAACTATAAATGAAAAAAAGGACACTTGTTCAAAACAGAAATCATCGACTTGATATTTTAGTTTCCAATGTCTATACGTCAAAAACAGGTTTGTTGTTCTAAAAAACACAAACTATAAATGAACAACAAAGGACATTTTCAAAACAAATATCATCATTGAAATTTACAGGACATCTAAATTCATATTCTAACCAAAATAATTCTGAAGTTTCCAGTCCACATCTCAAATACATTTTGTGTTACACTATGAAGAGAAGACAAACTTTAAATGAAAATTACGGAAACAAAAATGGAAATAATTAAAAAATTATGATTGGAAAAAATATCATTTTTTGTGCACTGCGCTCAAATTCTCAATGGATTGTATCAACCAATAAAGTTTAAAAAAATATCATATACAATCTGTATTTTCAAAAAACATTAAGTAAATCATGTATTACGCTCCAGATAAGAATGGGGGCCATTTTAAATGGGTTAATTTATATAAACTGGATGCGTGTCGCTTTAATAATTTCCAGTATTAGGAAAAATAAAAGAATTTATTTAATTTTATCCATGAAATATGGTGCTATATCAGCCAAATATATATCATATTTGTGAAAAAAACAAATATAAAAAATAAATATGAAAGTAACTACTTTCTAAGATGTTTGTTTTTTGCAAAGACTATCTTCAGTTATTCATTTCATCATCAGAAATTATCTTGTAATGTTTTTTATAATAAAAATTGTATTATTTCTCTTTATTTTATTAAAATATTATGTGTTCTAATAAATGTTACAAAAAAAAATCCAGAAAATTCATCTTAGATATAAAAATATTTGCTTTCAAATTTTCAGTATTTTTCACTACACAAAATGAAATTTTTTCAAACATGTTAGAAACAGAGTGAAAAAAACAAGGATAGGTACACCAAATCATACTTAAATCAAACATGCAAACACATTTCTTATAAAACAGTAGAAATTATAGGACTTTCTTATGTATATTTCTTGTCAGATAATCCAAAAATGAATTGTATCAGGGGGACGGATGTTACATTTTTGGGGGGATGGATGTTAAATAGATGTTTAAAGCTCATAGTTCATACTTTTTTTGGTTTTTATTTTTAAAGTAATGAAATTTATAAGAGTATAATCTTTGTACAGTACAATAAATGTAAAATAATTGAACAAAGTATGAGAAAAATGTAGAAATATACCCGACATTTATGTAGTTTTCTTACTATTTGCGTTTCACAATGAAAAGTTGCATTGACTTAGTTTTCTTCCATTTATCTTACATTTGAATGAACATTGAAACGTTTGGAATAAAATAAAAACATTGCTAATTAAAATAAAGAATCTTTGTTTCCAGATAATGCATTAACGTTAAAGAGAGAATGTCATACCAACAGTATCTTTCTATACATGAAATTATTTACAAATTACTTTAGTTAAATAATAAGATTTATATTTGTAAAGGATATGATACAGTGTGAAGAAAATAAGAAGTTTTCAGATTAAAACATAATTATGCAAGCTTGAATTTCTCATTACTAAATACATAAATTATACACAATTAAAATTTTTTATTAAAAATTATAAAGATTATAAATTGTTGCAATTTAAGTTCTATCGATTTGATGAAATTTTAAGTAAATTTAATATGGAATGTTAGCAGCATTATCCAAAGATTTCATACTGATTTCAGTTTCATAATCTCATTATTTCTAACTTTTTAATAATTCTCTGTGTATATATTTCAGTGTACATGAGCTGCTTAACTTAATGAAACTAATTTGTCATTCAATAAAATTAATAGGTGCAAAATAATTTGCGAAGGGTTTATTTACAGAATAAATTTCACAATTAGCCCAACCTTTTTCATTACAGGAATCCTTATCATATTCCTTTACTTACAAGTTTCTTTCACTTTATTAACAATAATTAAATGGGTCAAATTGTATAAAAAATGTGCTTGAGTTTTTTTTGGGGAAAAAATATTAAAAATTTTAATCAGGGTGTTGAATTATATTTCTTTATTTATTTTTCATTGACTGCATATTTAGCCTATAAATTTTTTGAAGTTCAATAAATCCTTTGACTTAATTGAATCTTCAACTTAATGACAGACATTCTTGAATAAGATATGGTAGTCCCTCCCACTGTTTTTAAGCATAATAAATATCACCCTTAATTGGCACCCCTACTGTTTTGTAATATATCACGCTTCCCAATATACAAGGCTCCCAATATACAGCTCGTTAACTTCCAATAAAGTGCCAGCCCCTTCTGTGTGTATAGATTTAGGATCCATATCCCGCTGTTTTATGAGGGGCTGGGATACATGGTTTGTTAACTATTTAAGGCTAAAGACTTTATGTTTTAAACAATTGACCAATTTTAATCACAAAAGATACTTTCAACATCTCTATCGTTTGCACCTTTTTCTATATAATCCTGTTATGGATTTTGTGTTTCTTTCTTCTAGTTTTTTTAATAGTATTTTATTTGTTGTGTGAAACATTCCTATACAGTCGCAAAGCTTACTACTTCTCTGTCATGCATCATAAGAAGACGATAAGTTTTGTATTACTGTAAAAAGAATTTTTAGTTCAATTCTGTAACATCCGTCCCCTTCTGTACCCTTAGTTTGTAAACACAAAAAAAGAAAAGATTATATTTGTTATAAATTCATATAAGCTTAAATATTATCTTATTAAACTCATTGGTCCACTTGATGTTAAAAAATAACATACAAGTAAATAATTTTGTTTTCAGAGCAAAAAATACTGATTTTTTTTCAAAATTAAGGAATTTAGTGTTCACAAATTTTTTTTTTTTCATAAATTTCATCTTTTTCTTTTTTTCATCATTTCAGTGCTTTATTTCTGTCATTTCTTCATTTTTCAATGTAACTTTGGTGTTTTAGTGTAAAATTCCCTTTTCAGTTACAGTTTATGTGAGATTTAATAAGCACCTTATATAGGGGGACGGATGTTACGGGGACGGATGTTACAGACAACTTTTACATTATTGTATTTTTCTTCTTATAAACATAGAAATTGGCAAATTTTTGTAACATTTTCATAGTAAGGCTATCATTAGGTACCAGAAACTTGTTGTTTTTATGAGTATTGTTTTATAATTGGATATTATATGAGAGGGGGACGGATGTTACAGTTTTTTCATCACAAATTTTTTTTCCCACTATCATGCTTACTATGGTAAAAAATGTTTGAAAATTTGAATTGAAAACACATAACATATGTTTTTAATTCATATTTCATTAGATTGAGACAATAAAGTACTATTTTATTTGTAATTGCTTAAATGTATACTTGTTTACTTAACAACTGAATTTTGAAAAAACTGATGCATTACATAAGTCTGATTTTACTAAAATCATCTTAACGATAAAAACCTGGATGATGTATACCAAGTATTATATATTACTGGAAAGGTTATTAAATTTTCTATGTGCATTTAAAAAGATTTAAGTGATAAATTAAAACAGATAATAGTGGTGTTAATTCGAAAAACACCAAAAAAACAGATGCTAACACATTACATGTAAAATTGGACATTTTTAGGGTATAAACATGTCTGTATTTTTATTTTGGGTAATGCTATACCAAAACAATTTTGGGCACATTTGCTTTATAGAAAGTCTTTTGTAAATACACAAAAAAATAATAGAAAATATATTTTTTGAAAAGGCCTGCATTACATGTATTTTTGAAAAATTGGCCCATTTACTATGCAGCAGGCAATATGGTAATTTTTTGTGTTACAAATATAGTGGTATATTTTAAATTTAAGTTCATTTTATCAACACAGAACAAAATTTAATGTAGTTTCCTTATGCTGACAACAACTACAGTCTTTAAACCGATACTAAATTTGTCAATACTAAATCTGTCACTTGGCTGTGCAAGACCAGAGCGACGAAATTCCCTTAATGCTGATTAACAAACAGTACGCTATACTAAACAAGGCACATTATACCTAAGTAAATAGATAGTCTCTAGCAAATTCAAGCAAGTTCAAGCATTTTCTAACAAAATTGTTTTGATAATGGTTTAAGGGCATGTTAGATGTTTAACAAGTGAAAAAATATATAGCACTGAATTTTGACTTCCATACTAATATTAATTAACTTAAATTATAGCAATTTCCCACATAACAAAATCAGCATTAGAGAAATTATGTATAATTAGCAAAAGGGTTTATTTTTGGAAACTGTAACACGATAACTAAAATAAAAAAGTATTGAAAAAATGAAATAAACCTGATAGAAATTCTAAAGTGTAATAGGCCTTAAATAAAAAATAATCTAACAATTCTTGATATAATTAATATCAGTCTTAAATTGCAGAAACAGATTTATACATGTACTGTATATCTAATTAAATCAAATTATTTCAATGATCTTTTTAAAATAAAAGTTTATTTAAAGAAATACTGAAATATTTGACAGTGGTCTTGATGTAATTGTCCTTTGAGATTCAAATTCTAATTGTACAAAACAGATATCTGTTTGATGCAAACAATTTCTATTTTGTTTCCATTAAGCCAGGAACCAGAATGTTATTCATTGCATTGGCAAGTAATGATGGTTGGGGGATTTTTCTGCTGCTGTTAATCACAAATTAAATCCACGTCTGTCACTATACAGCCAGGTATTAGGTGTGAAATCATAATATCGAACTATTGAAGAACTTTAACATCTTTGTCATTCAGAACATCCCACTGATAATCATCTGGAGATTGATGGGAAAAAAGCCAAACAGTTGTGATTGTCCTCATTGACTCTGTAGGTTTATTATAGCTGATATTCTGAAAGGAAAGCAAGAAGTCATAATTATAAGATCATGTAGTAGGATTTTCCTATTCTAACAGTATAATAATATTTTATGTGTTTTGAATAATACTGATTTTTTCCTGTCAATTTTCAATCTAACCAATCCAAATGACTTAAATAGACTTGTCAATCATTCAGTCTGGACGGAACCATTCACCATAATAGGGAAAACTTTAAAATATTCATGTATATGCTGGCTGATCGTGGTCTGCATTGGTCACATGGGTATAGAATATGTTACTGCCAGGAGGCTTAGAGTTAAAGAACCAAACCGGAGAGTATTCAAGTAGATTCACTGACCTCTTGTTTTGCAACTTAAAAAAAAGAAATGTTATTGTAATCTAAGTAAAAACTGCAAACACATCACATATAATTTGGGATTTGGGACCGATTGTATTCTTTGACATAAAATAAATTATTACATAAAAAGCAGCGCAGGGGTGTAATAAAGCCATTTAATAAAAAAAGGATATAACACTATAGTGTAATAACATTTTGACATGACATCGTTTGCGCTATAATCTTTAACATAAGCATTAAAGCGTGTTTATGTTTGTGTTACACTAAAGGCGCCTCAATGAAAAATGACTCTTAAACAGTTTAACATTCTTATTTTATATATGTGATAAATAGAATATTATATATTCGTGTAGATTCAATACTAAATTTATTGAACTCATTGAATAAAACATAATTATGCTCGCCAGAGGCTAGCATAATATGATTTTATTCAACTGGTTCAATAAATTTAGTATTAAACCTACACTCATTCAGTATCCTCTATTTAATGTATAGTTGATATTTTTTGTCAATCAATTACCGATACAGAATTGAAATAAAATCAATACTTTTGCCTATAATCATCAATGAAACTGGTTAAGGAATGCTAAAACTAGCAAAAAATACAAACATAACTAGAAATGTGTCCATAGGACACAGGTGCCCCCACTGCGCCACTGTTCTGTCAATTTTATGACTCTAGGTCAAATATTTTTTGAAAACTAAAAATCTTTTACTTAAAGTAAAGGGCAAGAACTTTACAAATACTGAATAAATCCACATGCATAAGTACACATGCTGACCAACATTCTTGTAAACTTTCAGGCCTACAATACTTTTTGAGCTGTGCATGAACAAGCTGAAAATTGCAAATTTATACTACTGTAAGTCAAGGGCAATAACTCTTACAAAACTGAAAAAAATCCACATGCAAAGTCCCAGATTCATAGCTTCACAGTAATGTGAATCATTATTCCTGTAATTTAGTGATGTTGATTATTATTTCTGTAAAGACTTTCACTTGGTTGATTCTAACTCAAGCACTCAAGGAACAAATAACAACATAATGAAACGGTCAAGACTAAGTCAAGAGAAATAACTCTACAAATACTGGATAAATACACAAGCGAAACCTCAGGTGCAAAACTAAATATGCTGAGCAACCTTTCCGTGAGGTTTAATGACTCTATATGTCAAATCCTTTTTGAGTTACATGCGACACAAAATTGTAAAAGACAACTAAGTCAAGGGCTAAATAACTCTAAAAGTACTAAATAAATCCAATCGAAAATACTCAGGAGCACAACTACACATGCTGATCAATATTCCTGTAAAGTTTAATGACTTTATGTCAAATACTTTTTGAGTTACATGCGACACAAGTTGAAAATTGCAAAATTTTACTAAGTCAAGGGCAATAACTCTAAAAATACTAAATAAATCCACACGAAAATACCCAGGTTCACAACTACACATGCTGATCAACATTCCTGTAAAGTTTCATGACTCTAGGTCAAGTACTTCTTGAGTTACATGCGACACAAGTAGAAAATTTCAAAATTTTACTAAGTCAAGGGCAATAACTCTAAAAATACTAAAAATATCCAGACAAAAATACCCAGGTGCACAACTACACATGCTGATCAACATTCTTGTAAAGTTTCATGACTCTCGGTCAAATACTTTTTGAGTTATGTGCGACACAAAAGTGAACAGACAGAAGGATGGACAGACGGACAAGGGTAAATCTAAATGCCCGCCACTAAAGTGGGGGCACAAAAATGGGCACGTCTAAAACTATACCAGACGTAACCGTTGTTACTTGATGGATTTTATTTATTTTGTTAATTTACATATTTTATAGCAGTGATAATAACAAGAGCTGGCAGAGGAGACAACACACTCTACTAAATAAATCCATGTGTAAAGGAAAACAAAACTATGAAAAAACAAGAACGTGTTTGTTAAACACAAATGCCCCCGGCTCAGATTCTTGTAAGTAGCAATACTTCAAAAAATGTTTACCCATTCACTCAGTTATGGACAGAAAAATCACCAAAAATTGTAAACACAAGTTTTATAGCTTGACAAAGTCATGGCATTTTGTAATTGTGAAAAATGTAAGTTGCCAAGTCATTGCTCTGACTTGTGAAGTTGGAAAATATTCAACTTCATGCAAGTAATCGTCCTACCAAATATGAAATACATCTGTCATTAAATAAAGGCTGTATGGGCAAAAGGGTAAAAATCTATTTTGAGCACTGGTGACCTTGACCAAACTGACCCCTAACTTCTATCCAAAAGAAGAATACCATGTAAGTTATCTTCCTACCAAATATGAAATACATCTGTCAATAAATAAAGGCTGTATGGGCAAAAGTGTAAAAATCTATTTTTTAAGCACTTGTGACCTTGACCCAACTGACCCCTTACTCCATCCAAAGACAGAATAACATGCAAGTTATCTTCCTACCAAATATGAAATACAACTGTTAATAAATAAAAGCTGTATGGGCAAAAGTGTAAAAATCTATTTTAGCACAAGTGACCTTGACCCACTGACCCCTACCCCAATCAAAAGGATGAATACCATGCAAGTTATCTTCCTACCAAATATAAAATATATCTGTCACTTAATAAAGGCTGTATGAGCAAATGTGTAAAAATCTATTTTTAGCACTGGTGACCTTGACCCAACTGACCACTAACTCCATCAAAGTTTATGTTTCTATCAATTATAAATAACATCTGTCTATAGAATAAGGTCAATACACCTGTAAAAATGTAATAATCTTTTTTTAACATTGGTGACCTTGACATTGGTAACATTGACCTTGACCCAAATGACCCCATACTACACCCAAAGAAGGAGGTGTTTGTATTAAACTAAGACATCAACTAAAAAATAAAGGCTGTATGAGCAAAAAGGTTTATATTTATTTTTTAAACCAGTGACCTTGACCTTGACCCTAGAGACCGCTTACTCCAAAAAAATTTGAGGACCATCAAAGGTATCCACCTAATATTTAGTAAAATATGAAAGATATCAGTAAAGAAATTAAGCAATTAGGAGAAATTTAAGATAAATCCAACTTGCCGAAATAGGTTAACCAGACAAGGCCCTATTTTCAAAGTGAAAAAAGGGAAATAACTGGGAAATATGGATTTCCAACTTGCTGTTTTAGGTTAACCATTATTCATTTTCTAAGTGCTGAAAAGGGCAATAACTTGGTAAATATGAAAGCCAGAATTATGAAACTTGCCCAGATCATGTACTTTGTATTGATTAGTAAGTGTGTAAACTTAGAAGCCATTGGTACAGGTAGAACTTAAGAAAAATCCAACTTGCCGTTCTAGGTTAACCTCGTACGGACAGACGGACGGACGGACGGTTCAATTACTATATGCCCGGGGGCATAAAAAAATTATGATACAAACACATTTTTGTATAGGTATCAAGAAAGCATTTATATGTTCAATATATTTGCATCACATAATTTGCATGACACCATGTCATTATAGAAGTTCAACATACATTTCTATGCTCTAACTAAAAAGGCAACAATCTGAGTGACATTTTCACTTCAGTAACAAAAGTGATAAGAGCAAGAAATTTTTAAAATAAATCTAAAGTTCAAAGAAGAAATTTCTCTTAAAATAAAGATGTTGGAGTTATGAACCTTGTTGTACATGTCGAAATAATGACAAAGATAATTTATCAAGTCTAAATAACATAGATACCATTTATATAACAAAAAGATATTAGAAATATTTATCAAAACTTAAAGGGACTCCACTGAGGTTTTTTGAAATGATGGAACTGAAAATATTTTTTCCAGATAAATGTACCATTTGAAGTAGGTTTAAACCACTAATCTTTGTGCAAAATTTCAGATCATTTGCGCACTTTGTTTTTCCAGAATAATTATTCTAATTGTAAAAATATGACCATAAATGAAAAGCATTTAAACGCTTTTCACAACAAATCGAGCTAAAAAAAGCATAAAAATACGATTTTCAATGTATTTCGAAGTATATATCTTGACTATCTTTGCATATACTTCAGTTTAAAGTGCCCCAGCTTATTTATGTATGAAAATTCAAATTTTATGTTCTTAGGCTTTTAAACCTCCATCACAAGTTTGAAGTTCATAAAGCAAGTTCGCTGTTATTAAGTCATTGACTGGACACAGTTTTGTTTTCAGACTGACTAACAGAAGAACCAACTGGCAACCGACAAATGTGATGCAATTAGTCACTTAGTGCAATATATCCCCACTTCTTCTATGGGGGCATTACTATGTTAATTTACATAATTATACAGTTTATTAGACTGTCCATCATAAAGATATTTGTAAAGTCTTACCAAGACAATGGGAAGTTTTTCAAATACAAATCTACAAATTGATCTATCATCACACAATGCTCCATGTAAAATGTCATGGGAGATTCTGCACAACAAAGAATCGGAAATTTTGATCCATTAGGCCACTGAAACGAGAAATAACACATATTGTTAAATGTATATTATAATATATGTGATGAACTGATTTCCATGAAACATAAAATATTACAGGCGGCAGAATACTGACGTGTAGATTTAACTGTGACATCATGACTAAAACTCTTGCATACTTGAATAAATGTTTTATGTTTTCTGGTAAATGGGTATCAAAATACCCTTGTTATTAAATGAGGCGGACATATTTGAAACAATGAACAAAAGGCATGGCAACCAGAGCATGGCAACCGAAAAAAAACTTAAAAATTGTCTTATACCATCTAAAAAATTTTCTATTACCATCTCATGTCTTCAGGTTGGGGACATGATGGTGAATGGTGAACAAGCCTGAAAAGTTTCAAAGCCATATGTCAATATTTGAGGTGGAATGCAAACTTTAACATATATTCTAAGTCGAAAAAGGGGCATAATTCTGCCAAAATGCTTGATAGAGTTACCTCCTCCTGTCTGCAGGTAAGGGTCATGATGGTGAATAAGTGTGCAAAGTAACAAAGCCATATGTCAAAGGACTTTGAAAATATTTGAGGTAGTACGCAAACTTAAGCATAAATTCTAAGTAAAAAAGGGACATAATTCTGTCAAAATGCTTAAAAGAGTTACCTCCTCCTGTCTACATGTTGGGGGCATGATGGTGAATAAGTGTGCAAAGTAACAAAGCCATATGTCAATGCATTTTGAAAATATTTGAGGTAATATGCAAACTTAAGCATAAATTCTAAGTAAAAAAGGGACATAATTCTGTCAAAATGCTTAAAAGAGTTACCTCCTCCTGTCTACATGTTGGGGGCATGATGGTGAATAAGTATACAAAGTAACAAAGCCATATGTCAATGGACTTTGAAAATATTTGGGTAGGTACGCAAACTTAAGCATAAATTCTAAGTAAAAAAAGGGACATAATTCTGTTAAAATGCTTAAAAGAGTTACCTCCACCTGTCTACAGATTGAGAGGGGGGGGGGGTCATGATGGTGAATAAGTGTGCAAAATAACACAGCCATATGTCAATGGACTTTGAAAATATTTTAGATGGTAGCTATTTAACAATTGTTCATATATTCATGTGTCTTTATTAACTAATATAAAATAAAAAAATTATGGAAAAATGTTAAAAGTGGAATTTTTTATTATAATATAAAGTGTTTTTATTTAACTTAAATAAAATATCTTATTATATAATTCAATAAGAATAATCTATTTCAATACTTATGTGTGTAAAATGAAATAATGTAAAAAAAATAAAAAATTCAATATAAAATCTCTTACCTGTAAAATATTTCCAAATCCTAATTCCAAGTTATCCATTAAGTTCCGGTAAAAAATGTCCTTGAATTATTTCTCCTCTTAAAATGTTTTTATTTATTTATTCATAAACAACTGTCACTTAATTTAACTTTAAACAGAAATAAATGTTTGTAAATTAAATGATCAAACTATACAGTACATGTATAACGTAGTCTAAGAAACCGCCATTTTGTTTTCTAAGTGTCCATTTTAAATTGTTTTCATTTAAATTTATTGAAGTCATTTCATAAGTTTATTGTACAATGTTTTTCCTTTGTTTATTCTTTACTTGGTTTTATTGTTTTGAACTCAAACCCCCCCCAGCCGTCTTGTATCACATGAAAAGTTTGTGAACTTCGAATATTTTCTCTAACACGGTCATATTCTGTTTCCGGTGTAATGGCGATCATCTTTACTGTAACTGACTGCGGCAGATTTTTCAGCACGGTCATAAACTTCTGTAAACTTTCTGCAGACATTTCTATCAGCACCAACTCCACACGTTCAATATTCAACATGTCACGTGACAGTAACAATGAACTTTCATCATCTAGATTGATGCACGACAACGTAACATTAACTAATGACGGTGTTGTTATATTTAATTGTAGTCTCCCAGGTAACTCCGACAAGTCTAACTTTGATAGAGTTGAATGTTGAGACAAGTCCAAGTTCAATCTCTTACAATCATGGCGGCCATGTTCTTTACAGTCTAACCACTTCAATGTTAACTCTTTCATTGATTTTTGAGCGGAGATAAAATTGTAAAATGTTTCCAGTATTTTGTGAGATAACGTGAAGTCTTCAATATATAAATATTGTAAGTTTTGTACTCGCGCTAAATTTTCACTCAGATTTTCTTCATCATTTATCCATGTACCCCACGACAAAGTAACGTACTGTAAACTTGGAAACAACATCCGGGTTATCTCAGCCTCCTTCTTCCAGCTGCCACTATAGCAAAGTTTCTGTATATGACTGAGATCTGTGAGAGAGAATAAATCTATAATTTCACGTAAACTGCTGGAAGTATCGTCGATGTCTATATGAAGTGATTTTATGTTGGTTTTATTTTGTTTTAATAAACGTTGTAACAGCTCACTGTCCACGGTGTCCTCGCCAATGAAGAAATCTTGTAATTGAATATTTTCACTTTCAGGCATTTCTTGTAAACACGACATGAACATTTTCTGTATGTTATACAATGGAGTATTGTACATGTAGTCCTCGAGACCTGTCCTAGTTCTATAGTCACGTGTTTTCTCGTCTTCATTTATCACAGACATCAAATCATTTGATATTTCACACATCCGGTCAGCATTCATTCCACTTATAAATTCACAAATTTTTGACATGTCCAGAATATCTTGAACATTTCTACATTTTTCTACAACAGTTTTCTGAGCGTCACTTTGAGAACTTATAAATATGGCGGCAAAGAATTCTTGAACTGTTTTGTGAGAAAACGATACTTTACTAAACTTTTTTGTTAGTGTTTTTGTTGTACTTTCTGACAACATTCCTGAGTGAAGGATGAATTTCATCTCGTCTGGTGTGATATATTTTCTAGCAACTGATCCATCAAATACCAGTGTGTTTTCTCTTGTTTTATTGATTAACGTATAATAGGCCAATTTACCTAAACACGTCAGGAGTGTATAGTATTTCATACCGTTTTCATATTCAGCCAGGCATTCTGGGATATCACTATCAGAAAGGACGCAAAATTGTTGGAGATCTCCATGCTTCTGAATCGTTCTTGATAAGAGCAGCTCTACTATGTTTATATAGAGTTCACATTTTGAATTACCTATTTGAACACCGTCACACCATAAACAAATTGTATATATCAAAAGTAGAGGCACAGAAGTAAGTTCATTGTTTTCTCTGCTTTTGATTCCTGATATGAACTCTGTGACATCACGTTGTAATGCACCTTTATTTGGGTGAGATTTCAATCTTTGTAATATCCTTTCTGTAAGTGTAACTGCTGAGTCGTAACTTAGTTTTGTAAGTTCTACCTTTTTTCCTATTTGACACGAATTTAGGTTCAAAACTCCTAATTTCCATGGTCGCGTGGTGGTCAGTATTGTACACTTTTCTCGGTCATTCCTATGGGGGATTGATTTCGGCGATCTGTGACATTCCTTTTCGGGGTGGATCCATTCATCTAGTCCATCAAGAACAACGAGGCATTTCTCATTTTTCAAAATTTTAAGGAGAAAATCCTCTGAAGGCTTTTCTTCTAGACCCAAATTTGAAACAATATTTTTAAATATGAGATCATCTATAGAACATAAATCATTAGAATCTCGCAGTAAGACCAAAAATAAGAAATCAAATCCCTGTATACAGTCTATATCGTCCTTTTTAAATGATTGAGTCATGTCTTCATCTGGAAAATGAGCTTGACACCACGTGATCGCAAGATAGTTTGAAAATGCAGTTTTTCCGAGACCAGCATCAGCAATTACATGTATTTCTCGGTTAGCTTGATTTCCAGTTTTAAATATCTCCAATAATGACCTGACATGTGTTTTTTCGTCATTTCTCGTCGGTGCTGAGTTCAATTCAGGTCTTATGTAGAAAGAAGCCAAAGGCGTGTCATTTTCTTCGAAAAGGGGCGACAGGAAAACTTTACTGTGTCTCGTCTTGTAGAATTCAATCAAACCATCTTTGAGCTCTGAAAAATGAAATTTAAACTGTTAATAACACAGAAATATATACTAAATATTAACAGATTATAGTTAAACTTTAAACTTCTATGTACTTTTCCAAATAATTTATATAATAAATATCAATATGAATATCACAATGTTACACAAATTCCAAATGTGTACTTAATAAATAAATGCCCATTTATTTAGTTATATGTTCTGTTCTACTTATTTGTTTATATAATCGAAAGGGTCAGAATTTTACTACCAGTACTGACTTAAAAACGAGACATAGTCGCCACATGAAGCCTTTTTCATTCAATGGAAAGGGACAATGGCCTCAAAAAGCCCTTACCATCTAACTATGTAGATCTAGGTGATGTAAAAACATAACAACAGACACACAATAATGTACACAATTTCATTTTGAATTCTATAACACTAGACAACCGATTTTATCCATTTGTTTGGATATGCGTTCGTCTAAATATATTTGTACTGAAATAAACGAAATGGGTCATCATGGCATAAATTGCTCACCTGAGAACAATTGTTAGACAATTTCAAATTAAAAAGTAATAATGCACATGTTGTGTAAACGTGAAGCTGGACTATAGATTTGAAATAAAACAAACATCTTATTAAGTGTGAAAATGGCATTTTGGAATTGTGAAGAGACAGTGTAAAAGGCCCTGAATAAAACCCGCACATTAAAGTGGCATTTTAGCTTACTCTTTTTGTACTGCGAAGCTGGGATCAATTAGTTATTTATTTAAAAGATTGGCTATTTTTATAACAACTGAAAAATAATTGATAAACACAAATGGTAAGGATAAAATATAAAAACTGCAAAAAAAT